GAGGGCCTCATACGCCTAGCTGGTTGCGGATCGCTAATATAATAGTAGGAGAATCGCGGAAAAAAAGCCCAAAAAAATAAACACAACACGGAAAAAAGGCCTCACAAATAAAGCCTACGAAACTAAAAAATTTTAATTTAAGAATGAATACGCGTATACCATAATATATTGTGTTATAAGTTATAATTTTTAATTATAAATTGTTTTATATTGAGTTATTAATGAATGCATGATGTATTATGTATGATTATTAGTTATTCATTATTTTATACACTGAAGTAAAAAAAATACATATTTAAAAAATTAAAAATAAATTAAAATGATAATATTCACAAGAGAAAATAATATTTATAATAGGTATTTCACATACCAGATTATAAAACATAAGTCATTGTAATCGTAATCAATCCAATTGCATGTCTGCGTTTAAATAGTAAATAGTGTACCTGACACTACATAGAACAAATTATATGTGTTTAGTCATAAATTCATAATACATAAATATTTGAATATTTCATATTCAATTAGTGAAGTCAGCAGGGGCGTAATACAGAAGGTGCTAAAGCTTCAAGAAATATTTCATAGGTACCATACATTTACTAAATAGAATAATATAATATGTATATATGTACCTATATTTGTTAACTAATTGCAATATATTTTGTTGTATATAAATAGGTACTAATTCTTATAATTCTAACAGTAAAATGTTTTTCGTAATCTTAATTTATTCTAAATTTATCAGCATTATTTTCTTTATTTAAATCATTAAGAATATATTTTTCAAACTTTCAACAATACATGAACTATGAAGCCATCAAAACGATTTTGCTCCATAGACGATATAAGCCATGTTTTAATCCTCCGCATACCGGAAAAGGATCATTCTCAAGAAGCCGTGGTAAAGGGGAGTATTAATGTTACTTTTGACATTTTTCTCAAATTTGGTATTACGGATTCACTTTTTTAGTTCACCGAGTTCGAGTGTTTGATGTGTTTATTTTCATTTCCTTGTTCGTTAGGTATCATCGTTTATCCCACAAATTGTTTTTTAGTTTTACTCAATTATTTTAAAAAGTACCTAGTCAGAATTTCCTACTTTTGAACTTCTTCAAAATATTAACTATATTCAATAATTATATTCAAAATATGACAGGCACAAAACTAAATTTATAAAAAAACACATTATTAAACCTATACATTCATTGCTTCGCTCAGTACCTATGTAATGTGAAATTTTTCATAACCTACTTAAAAATGTAAATATCGTAAAGCATCATCGTAAAAACACATATAATGCTTTTTACTTTAAAGTTTATATTGCTTTTAATAGGTACCAGATACCTAGTATAGTACCTACTCGATTGACTCTAATATCAAAGATAACAAAATAATGTTAGTTCTTCAGAACGCTGAAAATTTGCAATATGGTACCCGGTGGAAGCGTTCATAAGACGGTGACAAAAGACAATAACACAACATTCGAGTGTGAATGTGTGATAAGACGTTCAAAAACAGTATTTTAAAGTAGAATCAAATCAGATATAATATTAAAAGTTCAGCAATCACAGAATCGTCCAAAGTTACTATTGGTACTTGGTAGTACAAAACGAATCCAAGTATCGGTTTTGAGTTTTTGTCTATTAGAATTTTGAGAACAATAAGACAAGTAGGTTGTTATGCAAACAGCAATAGCCAATAATATTATTATTATACCAAAAATAAAAATAACGATTGAGTGTTTCATTGTCTCACTAAAATGAAAAGATGTTCACCGCGATTATAAATTTGATTCGAATATTTTGGAATCGATTCTTTTTTCATTCGAAAATGAGTATTTGCATTTCGCGAACTTTTAATAATGACAATATCGCACATCGAGTAGTGAGTACTAGAGCGCGCCACGGTGGCGTCTACTCGCCGTCTTGAACAATCTTGAACGACGCGATAGTTATCGATGCCGATAGATAGCGTTTATTGACAATGGTGTATCGACGGCCGTCGAGCGCGAAGCGTCAGCGGAAGTTTCGGAACTCCGATCGCAGGCCATCCCCTTATACCCGCCACCAGTACAACTTTGGACGTCTTGCCGATCCGCCGGGTCACTGGCCACCGTATGTCAGCCCGTTATGGCCGCCAACGTGGCCACGGTCAGAACGCAAGACTGGTGTGAACCTTTGGAATATTGGTGCTTAAGTATCCTGGCGACCAGTGCACAATTAGCATCAGTAGTGGTTACAACTTAACCATTACATTTCATATGATGAAGTAACTCTATGATCTTTACTGATTAAACATGTTACGCCAATGAGAACTTCTCCAGAGGATCTCATTGGAATTCTGATGCTACAACTACTGATGCTCGTCATAATTCACAATGTGAATTACTATTAATCATATATTGTGATGAGTATGTGTAATTTGACTGAGAACTTGAGTCGAGTTCCCGCTGTCCCGATTCATATGTATATAAACTATCCACTACTCCAAACATTGAAATTAGAGTATCATACTAGTATACTACTTATTAAATGTTCTGATAAGAGGCGTCAACTATATATATGTTGTTTCTGTCTTACACACATATAACAAGGCAAATGTTCGTTCACTAGTTTCAAAAGTGAGCTATTCATTTTGATATTAGGGTGAATAGACCTATCATCAAACTTTTAATTAAAAACATTATCTGTATTCTCTCACTTCTTTTTATTGGTATTTTAATTTTTGGTAAATTATGAGTATGTAAAGTGTTTATATTTAAAAATGCCCATAATTCACTAAAAAATTAAAATATGATAATAATCGATTCACTGTAACATCAAAAGTAACTGCACACTATTGCAACTAGTGAACGAAAATTCATTTTAAATTAGAGTAAAATTACTTCTTATGAAATTTAAAGGCAAGAATATTACCTAAGGCATCTTGGAGGGTTTTATTTTTGTTATTTCGAAGTAAGTTTATTGTATGAAAATCGAAAAATGTAGTTCATTATTTAAAAATAGTTTATTAAAAACACTTTGAATAACTTAATAACTTTTTTTAAAAATAACTAGTCAAGTTACTCGGTATTTACAAACAACTTACAACTCAAAAAAACCTATCACACAAAGTAACTAGTTAAGTTAAAACTTAAAAGTAAATTCTACCTTTCTAATTAGTTTACCACCAGCATTGCATTTAAAAAATATTAAGACTAATTTTAAGCTGTGTATACTATGAAACTTCTTTCACCATAAACAAAACTTCAGTATCTATCAACTTCAAGTTATAAGTGTATAATCATTTTATATGATACAATATAATACATTGGTACAATGAATTTGTTAAAAATGAGTTCAAGATAAGTACAATATAGATATATGAAGGTCCACACACACACTGGAGCAGTTCGGTTAAAATTCTTTTGTCTTGGCGGTGCTGGTAAATTGTGTCCAGACTCATTTTACCACTACTGCTGCAGTGTGTAGACCTTATATCATTGAATTCAAATTTAACATATCTATTACAGTTACCTGAGTATTCAGTTATGAGTTGCACTCTAGTTCTCAACAGTCAACACCTATAGGTACAGCAGAGCAACTTCGACATTTTTTTTAAAAATTATCTTCAATTAATATGATTATTTGCAGTCTTGTATTGTTGAGTAACATTAGGCATATTACGAATTAGGTACTGTAATAAATTACTTTTGTAGTAACGTTGTAGTAAATTCATTATATTTTATTAAAATGAACACAATTGTAAGGAAACGCCCTACTTTTAAGTATTAGTTCCATCTTAGTATTAAATATATTTTATTTTTACTATTACCTATTTGATAATTAATTTATCAAATATTGAAATATGAATTCTGAAAAGTTCTAATTTTTAATGTTATGGATTTCTCCCATAAGTTAAATTAATAATTAATGGGTCCGGCCCAGAGTTCTATTAGCAAAATAGCGTACTAGACCACCGTTCGATTTTAGTTGTTTGAAAACATATAGATATATTATGTTGCAATCTAACACGTTGTATAATGCACATAGTATAATATTTATGATTAATAGTGTATTTTCAAATTAATAAAATCTTAACCTATACTCAAAAGTAATTAGTTGAATTCTATAGATATAAATTTTAATACCTCATAAGCTATATTATATTATGTTAATATGTACACCTAAGCAATACTATACTCCTATTAAACCAACCAATTTATTCCACACTGGATGAAACAAATTGCATATAAATATATTTGAAAACCTTAAAAGCGACAACAAAATATTAATTCCTGTTCATTTAAAATTGTTTGTATTTGACTGATGACAGTAATACGAATAATTTTAACTTTAAACAATGAACTGCCTAATAATACTCCGTAGTAGTAGAATATGTACATAAATAAGGAACAATACACAATTATTGATATAACTTATAAATTATAATATAAAATATCATAATAAAGCAAGAATAAAAGTATTCTTTTTCCTGAACAGAATCAATATTATTACAGTAAAGTAATGGACCAACTGTTACATGTTTAATTATTAAAATAATGAAAATTGACCTATAATACCTATGCTAGGTTGTATAAATATATTAGGTAATATAATGGTTCAATAAGATTTAATGAGTCATAGGACACTAAATTGTGTTTAAGGAAACATTAATTCACTGTTTATTTGTTGAGTGTTAAGTGATTGTTAATGCAATCCCGGCAATACACATTTAATTTAGCTTTAGTAATTTAAAAATATAATGCAGATCAAATTAAGTACAAAAAAATTATATAAAATAATAAAAATTTTATTGGCCAATATTCAACTTCATTAATTTAATTACATTGAGATGTAAATATAATTTAAAATGTACATAAAATGAACATAATGGCTAGCCTAAAAAATAAATAAATGTATTTAATCACACAATACAATATATATATATATATATATATACTAAATGGACTATAAATTAAAAATATGATACAATAATTAATATTATATTAATTAATATATAAAAAATATTGGAGTAGAATTTTGGGAAACGATTAAATTAAGTATATCTAATAGTTTGATTTGCTTAACACCTAGTTTCATACAATCCACTTCGCCCAATATAACGAACCCATTTGACAACATCATGATCAGAATAATTCAACTTTGGCTCGAATACCTTTAAATATCTGACTTTGAATCCAGAAGGAGCAAATGGTACCTCAAAATTCATTGAAATTGGAGGTCTAGTCCATTTTTTCTTAGTGTCAGTCTCCAAAAGATCGATTTCGGCTGATAGCTGTGTTTCTTTCATGCCTGCCATTCTCTTAATTTTCCACACAATTGCGTTATCTGAAGCCTTATACTTAGCTTTTCCTTTTAAGCATAACAATTGAACACCAGCCGTGTTCAAGGGAGTGGGAATCTTGACTTCAATTTTTTGTCCCAGCAAGGAGGGTTTGAAATTAGACTTCAATACAGCTTTGACTTCCATGCGAGTACGACCTACTTCTCTTACCAACGGTATAACTCTGAATGGCAATGATATATCTTTGGTGGTACGGTAACGCATCAACTCAAATTCACCATCAGGTGGAATGAAGCTTATGGAATGTTCGGTTTCAAATTTTGAAAGCTTCACGCACTGATGAAATTGACAATCATCAATGACGACAACTGGCTTGCCAGAAGCTGTCCTCGAGCCTGTGTCATCAAGAATCTTGGTGCCCTTGGACTCCATGACTATCTTATCATTGATGCCAAACTTGCATTCAGGCATGCCGCTCAGGTAAGACTTCATGAGAATGCGGCCAGCAACATGCGCTGACAACACTTGACCCTGAGGCGACATGAGCAAATTAACATACTCCAGCACATCAAGGAACAGCTCGTTACGGCGATATTTTATGCCCTCGCGTCGCCAGCCAATCTGACCAGTGACCTGGGACGTGATCTGCATCTGCTCTTCCTTGCTCTGTGATTTAACGCCCGTCTGTGTGATAAACGTCTTGAGCACGCCTGTGTCACAATTCTGCGGATAGCCAAAGTCAAGTATCTCGTCGAGCAGCTCGTAGATGAGCACAAAGTTGTTCTTAATGTTTTCCTCGTTGATCTTGCCGAAGTACGACTGCATGACCTGCGTGAAGCGTATGAGGAACTCGAATACCATGGCACCATTGACATTCTGCTTGGTGACAGCGGCCAGCCAGATGTTGGCCCGTCGGATATGGAAGAACGAAGTGCGAGCGATGTTAGTTACCGGCGAACGGACCTGCTGGCGTGCATGTATAACGTTCACGCGGAACGCATCCACGGCGTTGCGGCCGATGTCATCGCGGTACACTCGCGATATTAGCACTTCACCCTTGTGATTATACATAAACAGACCGCCGATCATGACGACGTCTGCGGCTGTCTGGTTTTCGGTCAACTGTGTTTAATTTAAATTTTATTGTGTAAATATTAAATAATTAAGCCCGACGACTGTGTTTCCGACCAGTGACGCCTTGTCGCCTTCTGTTATCAGCGGGCAATCGGAATCACAGAATTCCGTCTTGGAATCTTGGACACGTCGTGGAAAAAACGAGCGGTACGGCGCTATCATAGAAGCGACTGCAGCAAAAGCAATAAAGCATAGACACAATTCTTTGGGCGGAATCCGGTACTATTTTAGATTTAACTGTATTTAGCGATGCTTGTATTGATTTTACAATGAAGTGTCTTATGTGTTGTGCTCATAAGTATAGGCCTAAGGTTAGGTCTATAGATATTTTTTTTTCTAGTATGAAAAATGCTTTATCATCAACTTCGATGGAGGTTTCTACTTTCTGGTAGAAAATTGGATAATATTGTAGGTACTTTTGAGAAGGCAAAATTAAAAATTCTTGGTACTTATTGAAATAATCTAGAAAAAAAAAATACGAAAATTTTAAAATAATTGTTGTGGGCTGTCATATAGTATGCGGTCTACCGGCAAATGCGTTCTACCGGCCGCTGTAAGATGCGGTCTACCTACGGTTTTACCCGCAATCTTTTTCTATCTTTTAGATATACTTTATCTTAATTGCATTATACACAGATAACAATACTTCAACATTTTGTAAAAGTATTGGCCCAATAGCTCAGTTGCTCAGTATGTCATTTATTGCGCGACACCACATTTTAACACCATATTTTATACACCCAATATGTTGGCAAAAGACTTTTATTCAATAATTAGTAGTGACGAATCAACCACAAACTTTTTAATCAGCAAAAATCTTGTGGCAAATAATGAAAATACCGAATGTTTAAAGTGTGGAAGTGGAATGAATTTATACCTACGTAAGGAGAGAGGTAAGGAAAGGAGAGTTTTACGTTGTAAGAGAAAGGGATGTCAAACAACACAAAGCTTAAGGTGAGAAAATTAACCACAGCGAAAATTTTGTTGATCCACTAACACAAGCGCACACTCAGAGGATCGAAAGTTTATGGAGACCATTACGCTTAAAAGTAGTTAAAAATATGTGTGGTACAAGTCCTGATCTCCTTCCAAGGTAAAAATATTATAAGTTATGTTTAATAAATTTAATGTAATAGTATACATATTATTGCAGGTATCTCATGGAAACATGGTGGCGAGGAATAAATAAATCAGATTTATTTAATGCATTTTTAAGAGATATGGCGGAAGTTTTTGTATAACGTATTATATTATATTTATTTATATTCATTGACAACAAATTTTTTGACTAACAAATTTTTAATTATTAATTTTTTACTAGACATTACTACTACAATAAATTATACTATAATATTATGGTATTTTAAATTTATTTATTCACGGTATACCGCATACTATATTCGTAAATCACCGGTAGACCGCATACTATACTCGTAAATTCACCGGTAGACCGCATACTATATGACAGCCATTGTTGTGTAACCTCTGTTTATAAATCGCTATTATAGGTATAAATTATTTGGTTAGTCAAAACGCTGAAACATTTAATACTATGTTCCCCATTTGTCATTACTAGAGTAAGGATGTAACATTTTTTTGTTGATTCTACACAATGCTATCTTAGCTAAAAATTTGTTTCATGCTCTCTTGATAATATTCTAATTTTATTTTATATTTTTTGTAGTTTTTGTATAATGAGGGGGGTATTTTTCTCAAATTTTTGATTTTAAAACATTTAAAACATTTATAACTAATCAACATTGCCATCTTTTGTTTGAAAACTTCAGACACATTCTAATTGTACAGTGCAACAATGCAATATGAGCATTATTTTAGGCCATCTTTTGTAGTTTTTTTAGGGCATTTTTGTATGTTTTTTAGGTCATCAACATCCTAACTCTAATCATACCTTGTTGTTAATTTGTAAATGTGGGGGCCAAAAAGTATTATAGAAAAAAATCATTTCCATTAGTGTTAAAACAAGGTCTGGTAACTGTATGCATTAATAAAAATGTACATACTAGATACACAATATGCAATAAGAAAATCAAAAATAAGTAGTATTACATAATTTTTTTAATGCATAAAGTTGCGAGACCTGGTTTTAACACTAATGAAAATAATTTTTTTCTATAATATTTTTTGGACCCCACAGGATTTTTGATTTAACTTCAAACATTAGCATTAATTATATTTGACTATTTTCACACAATAAAAAATAATTATTTAATCTTTAGTATAGGTAGCTCAAAATAATTTTTAAAAACTAAATTTTTTGTTGATTTATTTGTATAGTTTTGAGCTCTACTTATAGTTATTACGTATTACTTATTAAGTATTCATGCATTGTTATTTAATATTATAAAGCTAACATTAATTTTGTCAAATACATTAATTTATTACAATAAAACTCTACCTTATTCAAATTTGATATCACTCTTGTAGTCTCTAAGCCAGGGCCTAGAACCAGGGCTTGGTGAAAGTCAAACTATGTGCAAAATTTTTGTGGTACCTAGGCCTATTTAGTTAATGTTAAGCTTTACAGTAGGGTGTTAAATAGCAGTAGCAGTCATAGTATGACTGTGAGGATGAACTGAAATTTAAACATTTATTAGATTTTTACACGTGCAAACTTTTCCTTTTAAATTATAAGTATACTATATTTAGATCAAAGATATTGTAGGTAACCCTATTTTACCACACATATCATTAATTGCATTATTTTTCTTATAAAATTTTTTTTAAATTATATCAAGTTGAAAATATATTTTTTTTAAATCCATAGGTAACTTAAAAATTATTGATATAAATAAATATGTATTTAAATACATACATTGACAGAACATTTGGTTATTTTATTTTAATTGAAGACAGAAAATATAAAAAAACAGCTCAATATTTTTTTTATATTGGTGATTACTTCTTTATTTTTCATATATTACTAGTTCTGCAGTGTCAATTTTTTTATCAACTATTATTTTGTGGTTATTACTTTATACTATATGTTTTTCAACTTTATTTAAGACCCTTTACTTTTTTGAATTATAAAATATTCATTTATAATGTAAGGATTTTTTTGATTAGTTGTTTCATTTAATATCTGCTAAACAATCAATTAATGACTCAAGCAAGATATCAGCCTAATGTATAAATATTATTTTATATAAATTGAATAACTTTTTGTGTGGCTATTTAATCAGGCAGAATTAGGATTTGGTAATTAATAATTGTCATTACTCATTAGTAGAGCTCAGCAGGAGTTTTATATATAATATTATTTTTTATATTTTTTATATCGCTGTCCACTGACTAGTAGTAAGTTTCCTACACTTCAGGTTTCTTTTTAATTTGTAATTAATTTAATGTGGTAATGTATTAATAATACTAACTATGATCACAAATAATTAATTAATTAGTAAATATATTTTGGAAAAATAATTTTTCATTTTTTAGATTTGTTTGTGCTTCTATAACTCCTGAGTCCAGATCTTGAGAGACTAGGTCAGCAGTTATAACATATTTACAAGATGATACGGTTTTGAAATATTTATGAGAAAGTCAAATCTTATGTATTAGTATTTATTAATAGATCTTTGTATAAAATGAAATTGGTTAAATAAAGTAGTACATACAATAGCGGTTTTTAAGCTCATTCAAATTAAATAAATAATAATTCTGTGAAACAGAATTATTTTGGCAGGGTTGAAAGTTATTTTTACATGTTGTACATCAAACTAAGAACTTAATAAAATGTAACATATTAGAAAGGAATTTCTAAAAACATAAAAAAACACCAAACTAAATCTATCATTATTTATTTTGTATTTGTTTAATGTTAATAAAGTTCTTACAAATTATAAATAAAAATAATTACTGTTACTATTGAACACAACTACCTAAATATGTATACAAATACATACATGTATAATATTTATATATAATTATATACAATCAGTATCAGTAAAGTATGTATCACACCATTACTTATATGTTAATATTACTACTTTGATAATAAGTCCATAATTTGTTTAAAAGTATATAAAACAATCACACAGCTTAAAAATATATTTTAATACAAAATAAAAAACTTTGTATTCGTGAAAATATGTAAAAACAATTTTTTTTATACAAAGGAAGAAAATGTTGGATACAATATGTTAAATAATATCAGATGTAACATGTCTTTTTGCTAAAGCTTAAAAAAATAATAATAAATAAGTAATTTTATCACATTTTGAACAAATAAAATTATAATAAGAACCTGTTCCAAAATGAATTTACTTATTCACTTTTTATTATATTCATACCAATTTGTAATACTTCAAAATTTTCATAGTAAGTCTTAAATTTCTTAAAAAAAAATTATAATAATTAATGCAAAATTATATATTTTTTTAATCATCTAAATAATTAGTATACACTAAGATGTTAAAAAATAATTTTGATGTACTAAAAATGAACACCTTAGAAAATGTAGAGTCTATCGTTCAATCATAATAAAATGTATTTTAGTATAGTTTTATAACTATATTGAATTAAGCTACGTTAAAGATCTTTAACAAATTTGGCAGTGTTATTCAGTCTTTAAGTATAAATAGTAAAATTACACTATTTATTAAAATGTAGGACATGGGTAAAATTGTGTTAGTTTGTCATTATTGTATTTTTTAACTTTATAGAAGAATATCAACAAGTTATTATTAACATTAATAATTAATGTTGTTAAGCATGACACTATTGAAAGGTATAGAATTTAAAGATATCTAATGAAGAAGAAATTAAATTAAATTACAATTTTAACTAAGACTAGAATTATAGTTTAATGTAATACAAAAATAAATAGATTAAATAAAATAAACGCTACAAAAAAAAGTGGGAAAAAACAAAAACAAAAATACAGAAAAAGTATAGAGATTTAAGAAACGAAAATAAACTAAAATCACCTAAACACTGGATACTTAAAAATTAAATTAAATAATTATAATTCACTAAATTCACTCAAAACAGTATTAAAGTTAAAATTATTTTAGTAATTCAAAAGGACTCAAAACATACAATTTTAGTATTTTATATATAAATATTAACCTAA